GTTTTCTAACTGGTTTCTTCCATTCAAGCTATCTGGTCAAAACTATGTGGTCTCATATTCACCAAGTATCCTCCTTCATTTGATCATTTTCATACTTGGTGGAGAAACCAAACTATGAAGTCTCTCATTATGAAACTTCCTCTGGACTTCCATTACTTCTCCTCTCTTATGACCAAATATTCTCCTGCGCACCCTGTTCTCAGACACCCTCAGTCTTAAGTTCTTCCCTTCATGTCACAACCCAAATTTCACACTTGTACAAAACTGCATGTAAAATGGGTAAAATGCAGATGAATTATGTGACAAAATACAGCTTATATATCATGCATACTCTATCAAAGGATAATTTAGCAGACTATAACAGTTCATCTTGAGGGGTTTACTGCATGTCTGGATACAAAATACAATCAGAGCATACATGCTCATGCACACACATTCACCCTCACAGATGTACATCATCATCACTTTATATCCTAACTGTAGAAAGATTTTAGGAAGCTATGCCAGTAAGTTAACAGCAAAATTAAACATGCTGTATTATTTAGTTAACATACTGTAGTATAATAATTATAATTACACTGTATTGTAGTGTTTTAAAAAATAACAAAATGAAAGTATTTCTTTGGATATGATTTCAGGTGAAGTGTGCTCCTGGGACAGAATTCTTCTTATATAAACATTTCAGATTTGCTAATTTTTCCATATACATTACAAATACTTGAACCATCCATACATATTATAACAAATATCACTGATTTACTGATTTGTGGCTTGTTTAAGAAACTTCTTAAAATGCTGAAGTTGTGTACAGTTGAACAGTAAGATTGATTTTTGAATGTCAACTGGAAAGGATGTGGAAACAAGTGGCTGTGGTATGCTTTAAGAAAACATTTCAGAGAATAATAATGACATCTAATTTGAGATATATTAGTGTTCCCCACAAAACGTACTCTACACAGAATTAGTGAAAATTTATGAGGCACTATACATATGGGATTTTTGAGGTACTGAATATCAAGATATGTGTGTGCATGTGTGCGAGTTGGCTGTAAGGCACATCAGCACCAACATCTACAGGCACCTGGATAAACATCAAGGTAAATAACATTTTACAAAATATCCAGTATACAATTTAATGAAACGGAACTTGTGTCAAACTGTAGAGTTGTCTCGTTAAGAGAGTAAAAAATGTATAGCAAAACAACAGTAAAGATTAATATATAACTTTATTTTTCCGTCACAACACAACAACTAAGGAGTATCAAGGTCAATACCCAGCTATGCCTCACTACATGTTTCGGCCGTTAACGACCATCATCAGGTGAATACAAATCAACAAACTCCTCATACTGTATGGACATTTTCTTTCGTATGATGAGGCACCTCTACTCAATTAATTAACTTGCAACGTCATGGGCCTCCAATACCATCTTATATTTTTATTTTGTCCACAGAACGTATAAAGTAAACATACGACTCATTAGATGTTATAAAACATCAATTTTAATCTTGTTTTATATTAAAACCTTCAATTTTATATATAAATGACCATTGTATTTTTACACAAAATAATTAAGTATTTTGTCATTATATCTAATTTTACTACAGTTCAATAGTATATGCAGTGGAGGATTTTCTAAACAGTCAAAATTAGACCCTCTATGATCAAGGTATCCAGCAGCTAATGCATTGTTGGGGAAAACACGTGGCCTTGCAGAGGGCATATGTAGAAAAGGATTAACTCTCATACAATTTCTTGCACCTGTGGCTCTGTTTCTTCTGAGTGGTAATTAAAATTTTATGACTTCCCCACGTACATTCAATAACTGAGAAAAGTAGTCCTCCCACCTATTTAAAATGTTGTGGGAATCTGCAAGCAGATCACCATTCTTATCCTTCACTAAGTTACTTCTAGGTTTGTAACCCGTGTTGAAGTCACTTGTGCTTCTATACAGGTCTCTAATGTTCTTGTTCTTACTGTTCATTGCAAGCTCATCAATTTTGTCTTTCAGCCATTCCGTCTTTTTATTTCTCAAATTCCTGCTGGTTTCACGTCTTATACTGTTCAGTTCATCCCCATTTATTTTGCTTGGATCCTGTAACCACTGCAATTTGGCTTGTTTCCCTTGGTCTAATAATGCTGAGCATCTTTCATCAAACGATGGTTTATGCTTCTTGAATTCATAATAGCCTAGACTCTCTTTGGAAGAAATTTTGATATTCTCTCTAGTAGTTTCCCAAGCTCTATTAATATCCACCTCAGTGACCAAGTTTTCCAAAGCTGCAATCCTATTTGAGATTTCAACACAATACTGCCCTTTACCCTCTACCTCATTTAATTTCTTGAGATTGAACCTCTCCATATGAACCATGTGTTGTTTGTTTGCTCATTGCCAGTCTTTCCACAACCTTCGCCACCACCAGGTAGTGGTCAGTATCACAGTCTGCTGCCCTGAATGATCAGACATCACGTATACTTGAATGCTGTCTCCTGTCTATAAAAATATGGTAGATCTGATCGTGTATCTTCTCACCAGGAGATGTCCAAGTAAATTTATGGATGTTACGATGTGGGAACATGGTACTTTTGACAGTAAGATTTTTGATGTGGCAAAGTTTACTACTCTAACTCCACTGTCATTACTAATTTCATGCGAACTCCACTTTGGCACTGAAATCTCCTAACAACATTTTCATATGGTATTTTGGGAATTTATCGAATATATGTTCTAGTTCTTCGTAGAACCTGTCCCTCACAGCATCAATTCTCTCTTCTGTTGGGGCATGAGCATTCAGAATGATGATATCAGACCAGCGACCTCTTAGTATTATGTATGACATCCTACCACAAATATGCCCCACCCTCTAAAATGCTTTTATGATTCTTTCAAGTATGAAGAAACCTGCACCTAATTCACGGTTTTCATTCCCTTTTCCACTTCTGTCCCATCTGACCTCCTGTACTCATACTTAATCTAATTTATATTTTGAGATTTCTTCCACCGCTGCCCCATACATACTTCTAACATTCCCAGCACCAAATCTTATATGCATTTTCTTTTTCTTATGTCATTTATCTGAAGAATATTATATTTAAGCATCCTGTTGCACTCTACACGATAAATGATACAAACTCCGTCCCAAGTGCAAACAATATATATTATATGTCCCTGATCTTGTTCTTTCCACACTACATGTTTCGGCCTCTATCGGCCATCATCAGGTGTATACTCTTAACGTTGCTGCCACACTGAACCCAGTCTAAAATTTAACATTTAAAAACACAATGTCACATTCTTCGTATTATCAACATCTACATCGTTGATATGTGTCTGGTATGTAGATTATGTTGCACACGTCAAATTTGATATTCTTGTAGTAGCACTCTAAAAATCTTTAGTTATGATGTTTTTTAAAACCTTTTAAAATTTTCTCTAAATTTTAAATTTAAAATTATCTAAAGAAACCGTCCAGGTTTGAGGCTTCTTATGATCTTTCATAACAAGCTTATTTTCTATGGCAAGGAACTGTTATCCCCACGCCCAACCTCTAAGCTGAAGGACCACCCCTTGTTGGCTGTCGGTGACTGTTTGTTCAATATATTCACAGCTACCCTCCACATCAGGAGGCCATCTCCTCTATCCACAACTGGAGGACACACTATGCTGTGGTGACAAGGAGCCCACCTAACCTACTCAAGAATACCAAAATATTTTACAGCTACAACAGTTGTCTCCAAGGATATCGAGAAGGTACCATGAAGACAGGAGGTATGGCAATGTACTCCTACAAACCTGTGCTGACTTTCCATGCAACAAATGTCTGCGTGTCAAGCAATGGGGACTGATTGGAAGACAACTATAACTTCCTCCCTCCTAATGGAGCTGAATGAGGACTGCCACACCCATGTGGATGGGTTTACAGTTCAAAACTTGTTACCCTGTGTAAGAATTCATCTGTCATGCAGACAGGCAGCAAGAAGAAGAGAGGCACACATATCACTACCTAAAGCTTGTTCTGACCACAGATTCTCATGCAAAGCAGCTCAGCAAAAGATCACTAACTTCCCTTCCCTATGGGAATGGGACTTGATGCAGAGTCTTGATAAGAACTTCGCCTGGCATGCACCCAGGCAGGCTCTGCAAGGCACTAAGGGAGTCTGTGGACACCAGAGCCAGCATAAAATATTCTGCCACACCAAATGAACAACAATTTTGGTACCATTCTTATCTCACAAATGAACAGTCAATGTTAATGTTAAGGTTTATCCTAAAATTTGCTGCCCCCAAAATTGTGTCACCCAAAGCATCCGCATGAACTGCTTGTGCTTTTGTGCCAGCCCTGGTGGAAAAAATATGGCACTGCAGAGGCTGGTGTCAGATGAAAGGAAGGACTCTATATATTGTATACAGTGTGGGTGTACATATGCTGCTATGATTCTGCTCCATCTGACGGTACATTTTCATTAGATTTCTCTATCATTTTACGGAATGGCTGTAAGAAGTTAACAGCATTAAAGCACTCTAAAGTCATAAATGTCTGAATAAAACATTATATATGTAAAGAAATGCTGAAGCACACTGTACAATGAGTAGCTCTATCGTACTGTTTGATAAAGTGGCTCTTACAAACTGGGTAAAAGACTGAGCTGGTAGAAACAGGATTCCCACGTGTAGTGAAGAGCACAAGGTCACAAAAGAAAATATTTTAGGAATGTGGTAAGATGGCAGGTAGGCTACAATCTACGGCACGCACAACTGAAAAACTGTAACATCTAAAGGGATGAGACAGGCACTGTGATATCTAGGCTACTGGCACATCTAACATACTGTGGTTATTATACAAATTGGGTAATCCACTCACAGACCATTAAGACTCTGCTGTACTTCGAAAAACAAAATTTGTATTTACTTCACTCAGACTTCTAGACTAAATCTGACTATACACAACAAAACATGCTAAAATAACCCAACAAGTGAGACATCAACGCTAAATCCTACTTTAAAGCAGCAGAAGTCTGGTGGAATGAATTATCAGAAGTAGTGTCTTCACCACCACTGCTACCATCTTCCTCCAGTGCACAAAGGAAGAGCATCGGATCTACCCGTACCTCCACTTCCGTAACCTCACACTCAGGCTCTGTTCCCTGTAACATTGCCGATACATGTCACACAAAACTTCAACAAGAGTATGCATAAAACCAAATTTTCACAATGGGGAAATATGAAACGTTTTTACTGGATAATCTCGTGGAATAAACCAGCTTAGAAGAATATTTATTGTCTAAAAAATGCCTCATCCATTTAAAGGTTGTGTAAATAGCACATTCATAGTATCGATGATTGTGTGAAAACTTTTGTTGCACTGTATATATGTTTTTGCATTTATATGACATATCCATGTCCCACTGTCATTTTAACTAACTTTGGCTCTATGGAATGCAATGCAATGTAATGTAATGATGGTTGGACAATCTCATAGAATGAAGCCACTTGACTTGGATGGTTAAAAGGCAAAGTTGTCCCTGTACATAACTAATTAGGCACTATGCCATGAAGACATATGGGGAAGCAGATGTTGAGATCCACATTTTCTTGACCTCAGCACTAGATGGTGCTGAGTGATCAACTTCACATAATGGCCGCTTTTTCTCTGGGGAAAGAGCCCCTGGTACCCATTAGACAGGAAGCTGGGTGGGCCCCAAAGCTGGTCTGGACAACGTGGAGAAGAGAAAAAATATTGGATCTACTTGGACTCGAACCCTGACCCCTTTTTTTTGTTTAGTCTGTAGCCAGTTGCTGTACTAACTGCTATCTCAGATCCTGACTTTGATGGGGCAAGGTTTAAAAAAATATACATGTTCTACTAGCTAACTATGGGGCATGCAGTAGTGTAGTTGGTTGAGGCACTATGCTATAAGACAGAAGATCGCAGATTCGATTCCTGATGAGGTAACTGGATTATTTCAATTGACCTAATCCTTCCAGCTGCACTATGGTCATTGGGGTCCACTCAGCCTCTAACATAAATGAGTTCCAGGCATCTTCCTGGGGGTAAAGGGCAGCCAGTGTGCAAGGCTGACAACCTCACCACCATCTGTGAGCTGATTGTCTAGAAAATATGGGAGCCTCAAAGTCTGACAACTTTATGGGTCTCCATGGTCTGTTACAGGGATAGCTTTTTTTAACTAACTACATGAAACTGAGCCCTTCTTGAAAAGCCATCAGCTGTGCAACTACTCAAGAAATTTCCAGCATTTTATGTAACCCAAAGGTTTATTACTACGTTCACAAGAGTCCTCCACTGGTCCCTATTCTAAGCCAAATCAATCCAGTCCATACATCATCATCTTACTTCTCCAAGATCCATTTTAATATTACCCACCCACCTATGTCTTGGTCTCCCTAGTGGTCTCTTTCTTTCTGAATTCCCCACCAATATCGTATATGCAGTCCTCTTCTCCCCATTCTTGCTACATGCCCTGCCAATCACATCCTCCTTGACCTGATCATTCAATTATACTTTGCAAAGAGTAGCAATTATGAAGCTCCTCCGATTACAGTCTTTTCAAACCTCCCACCACTTCATCTCTCTTTGGTCCTTAGCACCCTGTTCTCAAACACCCTCATTCTATGTTCCTCCCTTAATGTCAGAGACCAAGTTTCACACCAAAACAGAATCACAGGCAAAATTATAGTTTTTTATAGTCTAATTTCTATGTTATTAGAGAGCATATGAGAAGGCAGAAGGTTCTGGAGTGAATGGTAGCAAGCATTACCTGAATGCAATCTCCTCTTAATTTCCTCCTGAATCAGGTGTTGATTTTTATTGTCCTTCCCAAATATCTGAACTGTGCCATATTTTCAAAGGTTCTGTTAGCTACCTTTATGTCATGATTCTGCCCTGCATTCTGGCGACAAGACAGCAATATATACTTAGTATCTACCAGGCCGCGCCATAGCTCAAGTGGTTAGTCGCTGGCTTCCCACTGCGGCAGCCCAGGTTCTATCCTGGGTCTGGTGAAGTGGGATTTGTGGTGGACAAAGTGGCACTGGGGCAGGTTTTCTTTGAGTACTTCGGTTTCCCCTGTCAATCTTAATTCCACCAATTGCTCCACAATCACCCTCACCTATCATCTGGGGTTGGTACAATAGGCCAGAAATGGCCGCAGTATAAGGGACTCAGTCCCACGCCACTAGCAATAAAAAAAATAGTTTCCTATGCGTTTACTTCCAGACCAGCTTCCTTACTAGCGTCAATTAAAGTCTGTGTGTTTTTCTTCATAATTATGTCATCTCCCAGTAGATTCACATCATCAGCATAGACCAGCAGCTGATGTGTCCCATTTAATTTCAGTCCCACCTGGTCTTCCTGGACCTTCCTAATGGCATATTCTAAATCAATGTCGAAAAGCAGTGGTGATAATGGATCTCCTTGTTTTAGACCATTTTGGACAGGAAAATTATCAGACAAATATTCACCTATATGAATTTTACAATGTTTCATTCAAACCCATTTAATCACCACCATGTTCTACCATGGTGCATCCTCAGGTTGCAGTTGGAGAAGGCCTCCAGATATGGAGGGTAGCTGTGAATATACTGAATAAGTAGTCGTGGACAGCTGAGAAAGGGTGGTACTCCAGCTTGGGGATTGGGCATTGGGCTAACAACTCCTCACCATAAAAAAATTAGCTTCTTACAAAATGTTACCAGGTCCTATTAGAAACTGAAACTACCAATATCCATTCTCCCACCACTTGGCCTCTAAGAGAAGAAATTAATGTTGTTGTCAGTATCAGTAGTGAGTTCTAGAATCTTAATAATTAAAAAATATATATTTTTTACAATTGCTGTGGAGACAACTGTGAAATTTGCTCTCTACATAAAAACAATAACATAAAGTCAAAAAAGTATATTCATTTTTAAAACACTGTAATCTACTAATTTAACTCTATGTATGCACTCAGCAAATATTTACTTTCCTTCAACTCACCACTCTGTGGTTGACATGACACAAACTATTTGAAGAGGCTGTGCCAAATATTCATTGGGGGGGGGGCTTAAAATATCTGAAATGACAGTCCGTTAATGGGAATGACTGTTATGAATTTCTGCCGGACTGCTCACAAAATAAACTCACCTCAGGCAGGTGACTACATTTTTCATACCCTTGTTCGGAGCATAATATGATACGGACGTAATAACGTCTACTTCTGTTTACATGCTTTCAACAATGTGACACAGGCTCAGAAAAACTATAAATAAATCACTGAAGAGATTAATATATTCCTGTTGGTATATATTTTTAATATTCCAAACTTCTGGACTGCCACTATATTTCTAACTTTTAATGCAATAAGGCATTTCATATAATGCCAAAAAATTAAGGAAAAATAAATTATGGTGAGATGTGGTGCAGAAGTTTTAAAATTCTTGCTGGAGGGTGGAGTGACGATCAATGGCAATGTTAAAACAGTAATGGAGTAAACTGCAAGATGGTCCCTGGTCATCAGCAATGATGGGTTAGTGGGAGGAGGACTAAGACAATAATGGCTGAAAGAAATAGGGCTAGGGTAAAAACGACGTAGACAGCAATGAGATTAAGGATGAATGACTGTAAAGCAGAAAAGCAAGGAGGAAAGAGGATTTGGAGAAGGGGGGAAAGAGGAAGGTTTATAAAATGGAAATTTTAAAATTAACAGAAAATTCAAAAGCAAACAATAAAGTGAACAAGTTTTACAAGATAACTAAAGTATAAATGCTGGCTTTCAACAAAGGATTTCCTTGTGCATGAATAAAGATGGTAATATTATTGGAAAGGATAAAATGGTAAGAAAGAGGAGGTGGCAGCATTTTTATGAACTTCTCAATAACAATAATGGCCACAAATGATCTAAAAATTAAAAAATATAAAGCATCACAGAAAGATATTTAGAAGGAGATGCAAGCATTAACAGAACTAATATGAGTGAGATTATGCCAGAAGAATGGTACAATGCACAACAAGCCAAATTACAAGAAGGGTGATAAATTAGAATGTAGTAATATCATGATTAAATGTATGTTATTACAGTTATAGATCACTGTGGTCACAGTGCAAGGGCCAAGGGAGCCCTCCCCTTGTACATTCATTCATTCATTCATTCATTCATGTTATTACATTTTGATTAATAATTTATATAAATTGTTGTTCCATATACTGAAGACATTTCAGGGGCCTCCAGTGTGGTTTCAGAAAATGACAGACAACTACTGACCAACTCTTTGCGTTGAGATTGGTGATGCGGAAGAATATGAATTTGGTATTGATTTTTACCTGTATTTACTTATTTACTAATTTTAAGTAAGCTTTATGATATGGTGAATGGAGTTGGGAGAGCTGTCAGTATAGCAATGGGCTACAGGCTGGACAGCCCAGGTTCAGTTCTCAGCAGTGCAAGATTTTTATCTTCTCTACAGCATCCAGACCGGTTCTGGGACCAAGCCTTCTATCCAAATGATACCGGTGGTTCTTTCCCCGGATGTAAAGTGGCAGGGGCATGAACCTGACCACTCATCTCCATCTAGTGCTGAGTTCAATGTGCAGTACTTAACTAATTAAGCACAGGCACAACTCCACCTTTTTACTTATGACATGGTGAAAAAAAAAATATTTATAGGATTATTATACAACTGTCAACACAAATTCATAATAAATAACCAATGTTACTGTATTACCATTCATTTTATTATGTATATTTGCTACATGTTTTGAACCAGCTGGATCATCATCAGGCAGTTTTTCATTAAATATACTATTTGTTATTGAATTGCATTTCTATGTATTTCTAACGTGGATTCATATTAGAAATCATTAATATGAATTTCAATACAATACTTATTTCATTATACAGGGTATACTCAAAAGAATGGTGCGGTTTCAAAAGTTAATAAAAATTTTATTTCTCAACTTACACAGTCACAATGCACACTGTCAGAAGCGGCAACTCTCCAAGTTTCTCATGTGTTAATTACAAACCTTCAATGTGTGCACCCTGGGTCACACAACATACATCCACATGGTAATCAAACTCATCCCAGACCCATTGTAGCATGTCCACTGTAATGGCCTGCAATGCATGTGTTATCCAATCACAAAGTTCATGGATGGATGTGGACACTGGTGGTACATAAACACTGTCTTTAATGAACCCCCAAAGAAAGAAATCGCACGGTGTAAGATCTGGAGAACGGGGTGGCCAAGGGAGAAGGTTGTTTTCTTCATATGCAGCAGAGTTTGATTACCGCGTGGATGTGTGTTGTGTGACCCAGGATGCACACATTGAAGGTTAATAATTAACGCATGATAAACTTGGAGAGTTGCCGCTTCTGACGGTGTGCATTATGACTGTGTAAGTTGAGAAATAAAATTTTTATTAACTTTTGAAACTGCACTATTCTTTTGTGTATACCCTGCATTTTGGACATTAGTTTTAAAATATAAAACGTTATAACTTAGTTCAAAGTTAAAAGTTAATTTTTTCTATTAGTAGGTGGGTTTTCTGGGAATCTGACTGTATTCCAATTTTTTGTGCACCTGAAAAATAGATAACAGATGTTCTAATATGGTTCAATTTTGAGTGATGCATAGTCATGTGGTGTGGTGTAAATGGTTTCTTTTTTTGTTGCTAGTGGGGTGCGACTAAGTTCCTTGTACTGCGGCCACTTCTGGCCTATTGTACCAGCCCCAGATGATAGGTGAGGGTGATTGTGGAGCAATTGGTGGAATGAAGATTGGCAGGGGAAACCGAAGTACTCGGAGAAAACCTGTCCCAGTGCCACTTTGTCCACCACAAATCCCACTTGACCAGACCCGGGATCGAACCCGGGCTGCCGAGGTGGGAAGCCAGCGACTAACCGCTTGAGCTATGGCACGGCCCGATGTAAATGGTTACTTACATATGACGTGGCAAATTTTTGCATGTATGTGAAATTATGTGACAATTTTCTGCATGTATGTGAAATTATGTTCTATTTTCCTTTTTAGTGACAGTGGTAATGATATTCTGTAATGAGAGTGAATATTTTAATGGATTTTTATGTGTTACTTTATTTGTTATTTCTCTCTAACTTTGGTTTATTTTACTCTCGTGTATGTTATATCATGACCTATATAGAGGTGCCGTGTCTTCTTGTTATTAGGTAGTGGCTGTTCCTTTTCTGTGCTTCTATTTGTACTAACTTCTGTTTAACGTCACAGTGTATATGTTTCACAGGTCATGAGATGTTCAAGGGAGGGGGGGGGTTATATTTTGGCAGGGGCAGTGGCAATGGTGGGGGTATATTTTATTTTTATGATGGATATGTTTTTATTATTATGTTAAATATGGGACTATGTGTATCTGTAAAGGTATAACTCATTTTTAATCCTTTGTTTATTTAAACTGTATATGTGGAACCATTAAAATGTATTTAGTGACTGACCTTTCTTTTCAGTGAGTATTATTTCTAATGTTTGGTTGATTATGCCCTATGTGTGCCCTGAGTCAAGTGTATGCTAGGCATATTTTGAGTTCTGCTTGATTCTATTGCCTGGGTATTCTCTTAATATTGGACTTTAAATGTACATCCCATTTGTCTTTCTTATCTACCTTGGTTTTAGATGGTCTCGTATTGTATCAGTCATTCTGAATGCTATTCTTGCATTAGTGTTTCTGAATAGTTTTGTGACAGTTCTTGTAATGGGACCACACACAATATGTGAAGGTGGCCCATTTTGATTTTTGTCTCTCTTGTGAATTATCTGCAGGAAGTTTGTGTTTTTTTAGGGTGTATTACTTGTTGATGATAATCAATGTTTTCTAATATTTCTCATATAATTTTTAATTCTTGATCTCTATCTTCATGATTAATTGGGTATGTGTTCACTTTGTTAATTAAGTAGTTTAAGGTGGATTTCTTTATGTTCATATGAGCAGCATGAGTTATTATGCATAATTAAATTAGTAGTAGTGGGTTTTTGGTATATGTAGGGCAGTCAAAAAGTTCCTGGAATTCCCCTGCAGATGGAGAACTAGCGATAAGCTAGTGTACACACTGTTGTGGTGGGAATCTGAGCATGTCTGCTCGCAGCGCAACACGTTTGGACAGGTTTCAGTGTGCAGTGTCGTTACTGCTCTGTTTGAATTAGATGTGAGTGTTGGTCATTCAGCGCACTGTCGCAGTTTGAACAGCGTGCGAACATCAAGTTCATGTGCAAATTGGGAAAATCTGTTTCAGAGATGCTATCGGCCCTGCAGCAAGTTTTTCGGTGATAATGCACTAAAGAAATCCGCAGTTTACGACTGGTTTTCCCGGTTTAACAATGGGCAGGAGACGTTAGAGGATGACCAGCACAGTGGGAGACCTTCGACATCCAGAACCGAAGAAATGATCGGAAAAGTGCGACAACTGATTCGATGTGATCGAAGAATGACCATCGCGGAATTGGAGCAAGAAGTTGGTACGGCTACTGGCCATTTCTACATGAGAGTTTTGCAGAGGTTGCGCGATGCGGTTTGGAGCAAACGGTGTGACAAGTGGCAGGGACAGTGGTTTCTGCATCACGATAATGCACCGAGCCACACATCGCTTGCTGTGCAGCAATTCCTCAATGAGAAAAACATTCCTGTCATCACTCAACCACCATACTCTCCGGATCTTGTTCCGAGTGATTTTCAGCTGTTCCTTACTCTGAAAATGGGCCTCAAGGGTACACGTTTCGCAACCATGGAGGACATCAAATCGAATGCAACACGTGAGCTCCGGAAGATTCCAAAAGAAACCTTCCACCGCTGCTTCCAACGATGGCAGGATCGATGGAGCAAGTGCGTATGCACGCAAGGGTCCTACTTTGAAGGTGATTAGGTGAGTGCTGCCGCATGTCCTACCATTAGAGTGCTATACCACCATTCTGGGAACTTTTTGACTGACCCTTGTATACCAAATGTTAACTGATTGTGTTTGGTTATAGCAGTTAAGTCTAGGTAATTTAATTTACTATGTATTTCTCTTTTGACAGTCAATTTTATTTCTGGGTGTGTTATGTTGAATTCCATGGAGGTGTTCCCTATATTTGTAGTCCATGTGTTATAGAGGATTAATACATCATCACATATCTGTAGCAATCGATGATTTGGTATTTATTTAGAATTTCTATAAATTTTATATATTTTTATATTTATATTAAACTTTAAATGTATTTGGGATACCTAAAGAATTGTTTTTTTGTCAGAAACAACACATACAAGCTCAAATTGCAAAGTCAGAATTAAAAAACAATTGTCAAGCAATTTTATGATGAGAACTTCAACAAGGGGATGCTTTGTCCACAATTCTACTTAATATTGTGTTGAAGAAAAGAATGAGAAATGTCAAAATTAACCATAATAGACCCATTTATAATCAAATGACAGCTAACTCCAGCCTATTATAATACAGTCTGCATAATTAAATAAGCAGCATTTACAACTGTATATGTTAAGGTCATTCAGAGTTTTTTAGGTTCTTCCAGCATACCTGTATGCTTTTCTGGGTAACTAACTACTAAACAGCTCAGATGATGAGAACAGTAATAGTAATAACGGTGATGATTTTAAATAGAGAATTTCCATCACGTTTGCTTTACCATATTTAGACAGGAAGTTCTGTGGAGAACCAATCTCCTACTTTCCTTTCACTACATATGGTGTATTTTGTAGAACACGGACAGCACAGAAAACTTTACATCCAGCAGTTCTTCTACTGTATCATGGGAATTCAATGATGTGGAAACATGTTTATTGAGACACTGCACAGCAATGTTGGGTGGGGGGGCAGGGGGGCACACGGACAGGAAGGTCATCTCATAGGCCTCTTTACATTTTTTCAAAATATGGAAAATAGGCTAAAATTCGGTTCAGGTCACCAGGTCATGACAAATAAATGGATGTAACAACATATATTAGTATTACTGTGTATTTCACGCATGCTGACATTTTAATGTAACATGAATCTGTTACACTGTAGGTTATGTTTTATATGTTGTGCAAGATATATGAATTAAACTGTGTGATATAAAGTGCTCATGACCCTGACTATTAAGATTACTATCTTCTGGAATGTGACAATGGTGTACCATACTACACAGCACCACATCCCAGAAGATAGTAATCTTCATGCATTTTACTGTTGATAACACTGAGACCTGCCCAGACTGCACAACATGAATTCTAATACAGTTATGGATGGCTGCAGCACATGCGCTTAGTAAACAAATATGAGGGGGGGAGAAGCATTGAACAATAAACCTATGACCTTCACTTCAAAAATGCAGTTTTTGTAATGACAACTGACACATTCCAAATAAAACAATAAAGAAACAACATGCAGCATCTACAATTTAAAAGACATTTCTAAGTATCAGTGTGTAGCATGTTTCATTAACAGACTATTCACTTCAAAGCCATAAAAAGGTGGCACAATTACTTTAGGTGGAATAGTTCAATGGATGGAAATTTATCCTAAATACATCACTCTCCCAAACAAGAAAATAAGAAATATGATTCAATAATCAAAATAATAAACCTTGCTAAGTATGGAGTGTAATATGCTGTGTTCCTTTTTTACTTCTTCCACTGAAGATGGAGTCTCAAGCAACATTTTCAGCTTGTCTTGCATTTTTACTGCCATGCATGCAAAACGATGTATACTATCCAATTTCTTGCAACAATTTGTGCAAACCATTTTGGGTAAAATATCCTCAACTGAAACCTGAAATTACACAAATCACAATTTTAGTACAAATCAATATACTTTAATATCCTGTCACGAGTGGCATACGTGGTATTCATAAAAATAACCTAATCGTTAAGAGCAACAAAAATATTTACTTAGCCTAAAATAGTACTCTTTTTTTTTGCTGCCAAAACAGAAAAAAATATGCTTTCACGCACATACATCATTACCGGCAAATGGCGAGACTGACAGTGCCACGCAAAAATATTCGCACAATGAACTCACCGCTATGTGTAAATATTTCTTCATTTTCGCTTCTAAATAAAGTTTTTTTCCTTCTTCGCTAAATATAAGAATATTATCTGTTTGTTCATCAGTACATATACGACATAACTTATCTAAATTTGGTGCCGTCCCCATTTTTCCCCTCTTTTTCAACCGTCGTCCATTTCATAAAATAGGCCTATATAAAGGATTTCTTGATTATTAACGATCTTTTTACTTATGACCTCTAACGACGACGCCGTAAAAACACCGATGAACAAATGACGCTGGTTACAGCGTCGTTTTCATACGACGCTCACAGCTCAATACAATTTCGATTGCGTGCGCTTGAAAAGATATTGCCGATTTCAAACGAAAGAAAAAGAGTTTATCATAGCAGTCCATTTCAAAATGTAGAAATACAGGTAGAGCGTGTTTCTTAACACTTCAAAGGGCTGGAACAACCACATTGCCAAAAACCGTAATAATATAAAGTTACTTCACACCACAGACAAGCTGATTTAAGACATACCTTGCACTAGTCCACTCAAAGTGCCGTCGCTAAGCTAACTGCACATTAAGAACATTAAGATTTCTATTAAAGAATACAATGTCATGAATCACATTATCAATTTTCGAAAACATCAGAGCACTGACTTAAAATATCACTTCCTCGAATATAAATAACGGCTTTCTTAACTAATTATATTTCGTTCCTCTCACTCCATTCCCATAATAACAAAAAATAGCCCAACCGAAAACATTTGTCTGCAAACTAGGTTCACTCATTCTCCCAGAGATGTCACACAGTACAATTTTCGTGACCGCTTTCACGCCGAAGGTACTATGGGTCGCTACACACAAGTTAAAGGCACTGTATTGTGACACAGGGCATCCGTAAAGTTATCCCTGTGCTTAATTACATATTGCACGACAAGGACTGATAAAGACTTATGGAGGAGTGGGGATATAGCTCCATACATTAATCTCGGCAGTAGACGGATATCGGTGGTTAATTTTGCCCCCGACCGTTTTACACTCGGGTAAACAGCCGCTGTACTCATTCTTCCCGAAGCTGGCGAACATACTGTGACCAAGTGGGCGGGAAATTTTTAAACGTATTCCCATGTCATAAATCAATGCTGTAGTGATATCAGGCAGATACATGGGCTAAATCGGAAAATTTGAGGGAGGAAAAAAAACCCTTCATACTAGTGTATTAGTAACAGAAAGTGCAAAAATCTCCCTATTAGCTTCAACATGTAGGCATATCCACATGTCACAACTAAATGGATTTTCATGAAATTTCGTATTGGAGGTCTTTACTACAATTTGTCTACCCATTCCAACTGTAAATAAAATCAGACAATTGTGTCTACTGCTCAAGGACCTACATATGTATCTTGGTTCATCTCGAGTGTAACTTGCAAACTTTATATTAGAATGAAGTATGTTTCAAATGAAAGTCAGAGATGAAAATGGAACAATTTTTATCCAGTATTCTCTCTTTTGGGCATTTAACGGTTTCTGAGATGATTAAACAATAGTGAGCAAAGTGCCAAATTGTTAAACTATGCGCGCATTCCTTAACTTGCTTGTGCTTCATGTAGTACTGCACTGAATCATTTTCTGCCTAAATATGTAATATTACCTTAACTTCTCTACTGAGTCTCTTTACATTACAGAAAATCTTGCTCTTAGGATTAGTTCAGCTTATTATGATCTAGATGTTTTCCACATCTTGTATTGGGTTTATGGTTCTCACAGCATCATCATAACAACATGAACAGCAGAATGGCCTCTGCCTGAGTCATGAAAGCCTCTTGGGTGCCTTCTGAACGAACATGGGAAGCCTCATTCTAATGATATCCTTAATATACCTATATTGAGTATAGAATGAGAGGATTATTGAATTTACAACAAAAATGAAAGAATCAATATGGATGAGACTTAGAAGAAAGATTAATTCAAGTGTTAGATTATATGGTACTTTTGTATACAATCTGCCGCAGAATCTGAGGTTGCATAATCCCAAATTTACAAAAAAAATTGGAGGAAGACATTGACAATTTGAGGGATAGATACCAAAATACAGCAATTGTAATAACATGAGGTTTGAGTAGTAGAATAGGAACAAGACAGGTATACCTGTCACATCTCTTTGATACAACATATAAGAAGGATAGGAATCCCAAAGTTATAATATCCTTGAAAGTAGAACAAGTAGGGTAAAGTACATACTGCAGAGGGAAGGAAACTAATACAATTCTGTGAAAGTAATGCTCTTGAAATTCCAACTGGAAAGAAAGGACCAGACACAAGAGGGGAACAGACTTTTGTCAACCAACTAAGTAGCAGTGTTATGTTGCCCGGAATGTTACACAAAAACAGTTTCAGTAAGAGACTTTCATATTTGATAGGAAGCTATTCAAATATTCAAATATAGCCTGTGCCCCCCCCACCCAGATTTGGTGGCATCACATATTTCATACATCATTCTTATGAGTTGATGATTCATGGAATTTTGTTGCTGGAATCCACATTACTGTAACTTAAAGAACTGCGGGGGTTCACAATGCGGTTGCAGCATGTATATTGTAACGTGTTTGGAATCCAGAAGAGTCACTTCTATGGAAACGCTAGAACAGACCGTTGCCTAGGAAGCGACAATAGCGGTATTGTAGCCCCAACAGTTGGCCGTTGCTTAGGAAGCGACAATAGCGATACTGTAATCCCAACAGCGAGCCGTTGTATCGAGAACATCGAATCACCACTGTTACGACGAACACACTGAGCGTTCCCACAGCAACAACGCAATAACAAGGGTCATTGTGTAGGAATCGCGGGATCAACAAAGCAGCGTTTCCCTGGTGATAGACAACAGAAGGCATTGTATAGCAACCGCCGAGGTATAAATAGCCCAGCTTCGACAAGAAGCAGTCAGTCTGGAAACAACCGCCAAATAGCCGCCATTGAAGAAAGGTGAAACATAGCGGCCGACAGTGGAACAAGAATTAATTATAACAGTGAAGCAGTGGATAATAATTGTACTCCTAAGTGTAGAAGGGAAGCATCCAATAAAGATTCACTGAATCCGAGACCCATGTATATTTATTTGTCACGTGACAATATTTTTGTCATTCAAGAAGACTGCTGGATATTTGTAAGAGAATCACATCAATTTTCCAGTATTTTCTTGCTTTATGAAATATTGACTTTGGTCTTTTTCCATGTAATGAAAAAAAATCTATACTATCCTTGAGAGAATTTCTTGACCCAGTTGTGAACTGCTTTACACAACAAAAAACTTCTCACCATAAACAGGAAATATTTCTTTATGAATATCCTTTTCATTGAGTCCTTTTGCCTACAAAAAATGCACAACAGACTTGGTGTTCTTTGGTAGTATACTCCTCAAACATGGTTGCCATTTTGACTATTGAATCCAGCCTCTGAATATGTGCATGTGCATCTGCTACCTAGACTGTCATAAAGGTGGACTGTGCTGCTACCTAGTGAAAAACAGAAAAAACCAGTTACATCCATTATAGCTGTTTTGCTTCCATTTCTGACCTATATACTGACTCTCCCTCATATTAGGATATGCATTGAAAGAACACTAAGAGTGCGGTTTTGGTTCAGCTTCTTTTGTGACTGCAGCTCTTGCTTTATGAATATGATAACTGAGTGTTTACATTGCTACATTTAAGCCCTTAGCTGAGAGAGGTGATGGAGGATTTGGGAGACTTTACAGAAGCTTAGTGCAAAACTTTGTGAACTTGACATATAAGAACTGATGCAGCAGAGGCTTGATTGAAATGTGAGCAGGAGTGGTTGTAATCACAGTAAAATGGTCACTGACTGTTAAACTCTGTGAGTCTTCCCATATGGAGATTATAAAGTTGATATTCTTGCTTAATGCAATGTCTCCCCATCGGCCCAGTCGTTCCCATGAACAACTAACTTCAATACTGCCATGTGCCCGTGGTTCCATGACTAATAATAATGGGTTCTGGATTGGATGATTGGATTTATTGATGCCTTCTTTACAGCCAATTATAACCACTCAAAATCAATGGCTGCTTGTTCCATTCTGCTGGACTGCGACTGTCTTCTCTGCTATTGTGACTGACTTGACCCTGATTTATGAATTGGTCACTTCTTCAGTTTCCGTTGTCCCCTGATTAACACTCCACAGCTGAACACTCAACTCAGTTCAACTACTTAACTCTGAACTCTCTTACAAATCGATGAATGCTGGCTCACCTGTGAACGACTTTCTTATGACTCACTAAGGACGAATCAATTATGTGTCCCCTGTTTATAACTTCGGGCCAAACCGAACATAAGTCACTACTTCTAACAGATTTTATATTCTTCTGTGTTTGTTTGTTGCTGCAGAAACGTGTATTAATTTTGTACTAATGGTCTGGTTTTCCACAAGCCTATCCACTGCTACAGAAACATGTCTAGCAAACCGTTGACTAGCAATGAACTATTTCAGCTTTCAGGCATCATGTCACAATATTATTATTTGTGCAAAACTGGCTCAGATGATTCTATGATGTTCATTCACATAATTCTACCCCGCTGAATGTTTGGTATTCTAGTCACTTGCAGCTATGACTGCTTCTGTTGACTTAAAGAGATCTTTGAATTCAGTAGGGGGGGGGAGGACAAACAGCTTGGATTTATATATAATGATGTTATGAGAAATGGTACAGTTGTGATAGATATTCCGATGCAAATGGCTTCTATGTTATTGGTGACAGAAGACTGAACTTGGTGATAAGGGATCTGGTTTTATATTTCAATACCCACTCTTCCATGAGGATGGCATCATGTCATTGGCTCATACTTGCCAGATCTGTAAGTCTTGTATTTGCAGTATGTACATTTTTTAGATGAGTCCAAATAAGTTTCTTTTAGCATATATATGTCAATGAACTGATCCTATAGGAACTTTAACTTTTTTTTTAATTGCCACAGTGCACCATTAACATTAGATTCAGCATTTTGGTTCATTTACTCATTGCAATCTGCACTGAAAATTAGCCTCTAGCTAGGAAAAATGTATTGAAATGGAACTTCTAGAAAAAGCACATGAAACCTTTGGGATCAATCTGCAAACATTGTAATGATCAATATTAGCCACAAAAATTAGCAGGATTCTGAAAGGTTTTCCATAAGAGGAAGAAACAGACGTCAACCAATCTACTGTAATTTATTTGCTGTCACCAAATTCAGATTTAAGTTACAGACTATAAAGCTAACACAAACACTGTGACCTACTTAATACTTGCAAGCATTAGCTTACAAAGCAGATTAATAACGTGGTTAAAATCACAAAAATTATACACTACTGCAATCTTAAATGATACATGGTATAAAAATAATTATTAAAAAACCAGATCAAATCAGTCTGGAACTAAAAATAAACTACTGATGCAGACATCATCAGACATGTCAGAAGCAGAGATTATGTTAAGTCACCTCACTCTGTCACATTTAAGACACTTCTGACATCTCCAAATGCTGCCATTTCTTTCCTTCCAGGTGTCATGTTCATAACAGAAATGAACTCGTGTGAAAGAATGTAGCCAGTACAATCACAATGCATGAGATAAATATTTAATCACATTTAATTTGAAAATACATTTCATAATTATATAACATCAATATTTTAAGATGCCTGACATTATTTGTCTTGTATTTTCCACAGTCCAGGCCACACTCAAGCCTTCACAGATTACATATGCAGTGTTAATTTCATAATGTCCTGCAAAGCCTGTGAGTGATTCTTTAAGTTTTTGCTTTATTCTGAATTGGAAGGAAAAGTTTGAATTCTGCTGGCAATTCATCTTCAGAATAGAGTCGATCTGAAAAGTACACTCGTCTGATACGGCAGTTTGCATGGATTTGCACTCGAAGTGTTTCTATGTAATTGGTACCATAGGCACGGCGAGTAAAATCTGCCAAGTTGAACTGAATTTGGTTCCATCCATCATCCAGTCTCATTGGCATTGTACAAATGAATGGTTTTACCCGTGTTGTGGATTGGTAATTACTTGCCCTGAAGCGTCTGCGGACATTCTTGTCATCTAAAATCTGGAGGAAAAAAAAACAGTTAAAATCAATCTGATCACATACAAAGTCACTCAATATTCATTCTTGGCTTGCTGACTCTAACATGGCTTCAAAAATTCTGAATAAATTACCATCAGGGACCAAGACTAGATGATGAAATATAGTTGGAGAAGGTATAGAAAATAGGGGAGGGAAGAGTGGACACACATGCAGGAAAAGGGCTTACAGAAGGACATGAAAGACTGTTATTAGATGATGGATTCTTGTGAGAAGTCAAGATGACTGTCACAGGAAGATTTTATAACTAAACTCCTTGGTAATATAACCTAGAGGTTTAATATAACTAATAACAAAGTCCACCATTGAATACCATCAGGAACTGTTCAAGTTCACCTCCTCACAACCTGCTTTCTCAAAAGGCCCATGCCAATATTATCCTCACATTTCACTCTTAGCCTTTCAAATGACAGATTCTTCCACATTCTTGATGACATATTCTGGAGAAAACTGAAAAGCAGTGTTTCAGTCGATTAAGAACTGGAAATGTAACAGATAAGCGTTTTACCTGCACACAATACTTCATAATTTTACTGCAAGGTGGCATCCAAGTGTAATGGTTGGCAAAAACAAACTCTCATTAGACATGTCATTGATATCAACTGTATGTTTCACCTCCTGCTTGAATCAGTTCTGACAAAATTTGATCTGTACTTGGGGATTTATACTTTTTCAACATTTCAATAACATATGAACTTCAAACAGACTATACTCAAATACTAATACCTCAGTTGTATTTCCATCTGCCTAACATCGCTGTGAGAAGTAATTCAACCACCTATTCAAAATGTTGTGGGAATCTACAATCAGGACACCATTCTCACACTTTACCACGTTCGTTCTAGGCTGCAAGCTCATTTATTTTGTCTTTCAGATATTTTCTTTTTTTGTTCCTGAAATATCTGCTATTTTCACATCTTGCATTGTTAAGATTAGCTTCAATTATTTTGTTAGCAGATTTCCCTGGTAGTGATCAAATTCTGGCAGAACAAATTCTAAGAGAAGAAATATTATGATCTTAGATCCAAAAGCTAATTACATCTATTTGGCATAAAAAAAATGCCTAATCAGCGAAAGGAGTCTTCTATTCGTAAGAGAGGTAATAAAACTGACTGTAGTAATTATCCTGGGATATCACTGCTATCAACTGCATAAAAAAAATTTATTCAATATTCTTCTCTCAAGGTTAAATCCATATATAGATGAAATTACTGGCGATCACCTGTGTGGGTTTCGATGTAACAGATCAACTACTGATCAGATCTTTTGCATTCATCAGATACTGGAGAAAAAATGGGAGTACAATGAGACAGTACATCAGCTATTTGTAGGCTTCAAGAAAGCCTATGATTCAGTTAGAAGGGAAGTATTCTACAATATTCTCTTAGAGTTTGGGATACCCATGAAACTAGTCAGGCTGATTAAAATGCGTTTAAAAGAAATGTATGGAAAAGTCCATATTGGTAAACATTTGTCTGATATTTCCCTACCCAGAATGGTCTAAAGCATGTAATTTTTTATCGCCACTCCTTTTCAACTTCCATTTAAAATATGCCACTAGAAAGGTCCAGGAAAACCAGGTGGGACTGAAATTAAATGGGACACATCAGCTGTTGGTATATGCTGATGATGTGGATCTATTGGGTGATAATATAGATACCATGAAGAAAAACACTTAGACTTTAACTGATACTAGAGAGGAGGCTGGTCTAGACGTAAACACAGAGAAAACTAAATATATGTTGCTGTCTCATCACCAAAATGCAGGGCAAAATCATGACATATAAATAGGAAACAGATATTTTGAAAATGTGGCTCAGTTCAGAGATCTGGGAACGATGATAACAAATGAAAACCTGATTCAGGAGGAAATAAAGAGGAGACTGAACTTGGGTAATGCTTGCTACCATTCAGTGCAGAACCTTTTGTCTTCTCATCTGCCGTCTACAAGCATAAAAATTAGAATATACAAAACTATAATTCTGCCTATGGTTTTCTATGGGTGTGAAATTTGGTATCTGATATTAAGGGAGGAACGTAGACTGAGGGTGTTTGAGAACAGGGTGTTGAGGAGAATATTTGAACCGAAGAAAGCTAAAGTGACAGGAGGTTGGAGAAAACTGCACGATGAGGAGCTCATAAATTGTACTCGAAGTTATAATTAGAATGATCAAATGAATGAGGATGAAGTGGGCAGGGCATGTAGCATGAATGGGGGAGAAGAGGAATGCATATAGGATATTGGTGGGAAAGCCAGATGGTAAAAGACCACTCGGAATACCAGGGCGTAAGTAGGTGGACAATATTAAAGTGGATCGTATAAAGATAGGATGTGATGATATGGATTGAACTGATCTGACTCAGGATAGGGACCAATGGAGGGCCCTTTGTGAACATGGTAATGAGCCTTCATGTTCCATAAAATGCTGGGAAGTTCTTGAGTGACTGAACAATTGGCAGTTTCTCTAGAAGGGCTCGGCTTCATGAGTGAGTGATTACTTTCACTAATGTATTTGAGAAAATTATGCACAAATGGTTAAGTTATTATTTGCAGACTAATAATATACTCATCCCAAAACAGTGTGGCCTCAGGAAAAAAATATCCACTTAAAAAGAAGTCTTTATGCTAACAGTGTATTAAAATATGTTAACCAAAACATGCATGTTGGTGGAATATTCTATGATTTGGCAAGAACTTTTGAATGTCTAGATCATAAAAAGTTATTAACCAAATTGCATTTTTTTTTTTTTTTGCATTTAAGGAGCAACAGCAAGTTGGTTCAGACCTACATAACAGATAGAAAACAAGAAAACTTAAACACCTAATCTATACCCACAGTATTTTCTGGCGACACTAGTGTCACAGTTTCTAGTAAAAACTGAGATGATTTCTGCATACTATGAAATAAAGTTCTCTCTCAAATGGGTAAATGATCTGCAAACAAGTTGTCCCTGAATCTAGACAAAACAAATGTAATAAAATTTATAACAAAACACTTACCACAGTTTCCATTAAACACTGGATATAATGATACATACATATATAGAAGTGGCAGTAAACACAAAATTAATTTGATTACAAACTGATAATGATTTAAAATGGAAAAACCCTATCAATCAGTTGGTTCCAATGCTAAGTGGAGCATGTTATGCAGCTACATCTATGCTGCATATCAGCAACACTGACTCTCTTAAATCAATTTTATTTTGTTACTTTCACTCTTTAATTAAATAAGGAATAATTTTCTGGGGTAATTCCTCTGACAGCAAAAGGGCATTTACATTGCAAAAGAAAACTGTTAGATTCATGATGGGTCTCAAATCCCATAATTCTTGTAAGAGATCTATTTAAGAGACCAGAGATCCTAAGTCTTCCATGTGAATATATATATGAGGGTTGGAACTTTAATAGCGGCAACACTGCTGTAGAGATGCCATGGAATGGAACCAAATAATTTCGCTTATACCACACGTTAGTTACATACCTACCTTACCTCAGAGCAAATGGACTCTCCCTTCCCACATCACACGCATGTGCAGCAACGAGAAGAACAGAGCCTTGTGTTAGCTGGCGGTCTAATGTACTGTTGTCATAATGTTTTCGAAATAGGAACAACAGAGGTGGAACAACAGAGGTGGATAAAGATTGAGTGTGCCAGAGGCCGTACAGCATGACAGTGTTCAAGGTCTTCAAGAGGCTTGTGGGGAATCTGCATTGCCTTACAGAACAGTGGCAAGGTGGGTAAAATCCTTCAATGAGGGACACCAAACTGTGGCAGACATGTGTCAGCCACATCATCCTAGTGTCACTGAAGAAGTGAATGCTCTTTCCGCGTTACTTGAGAGTGATCAATGCCATACGATTCGTGAACTGGCACGAGAGACAGGATTAGCGCATATGACTGTGCTTCACATTCTGAAGGAACGCCTGGGCATGAGAAAAATTGCATCACAATGGGTTCCGCATGATTTGACAGAAATGCAGAAATGGCTATGATAAGATGCTGCTCGTAACCACTTGGAGCACTATGAGCACGAAGGAGAGGCTTTCTTACACCATATCATCATGCTGGATGAGACATGGGCCAAATTGTACGAGCACAAATGAAACACCAATCGAATGAACGGCGTCATTACGGGTCACCACGAAAATCAAAAGTTTGTCAGAACCCCAGCTATGTGAAAGTTATGGTGATTCTCGTGTATGACTGTGATGGTGTTATCCTAACCTAACGCATACCGTTCCCTGACAGCAGACCGTCAATGTGCAGTATTACTGTTCAGTTTTGAAACACAACCTGCAACCAGCTTTGAGAAAGAAGTGGCGACGCTTTCTGCTGAACCCACCCATCATTTTGCAGGACAATGCTTGGCCGCATGCAGCGCAAGCTGTGGCTGATTTGTTCGATTGATGGGGCTGGGAAGTACTGTGCCATCCACCATACTTCCCGGACTTAAGCCCTTGTGACTTCAACTTGATTCCTAAGATGAAGGAACCACCTTGTGGCATTTGCTGCAGAACTGTTCCAGAGATTCTTCAGGCAGTAGACCGCTCCATTCGAACTATCAACACAACAGGCGCTGCTAAAGGCATCCTACGGCTTCCACACCGCTGGCAACAGGTTGTACACAATGCTCGTGACTACACTGAAGGACAGTAAAACTCTGAAACACGCATCTATTTTGTATCAGTTGTAAATAAATAATTGCCACTATTAAAGTTCCAAACCTCATATATATATTAATTATTAAACTTCATTACAAATAATGAAGAGCATTTTAAGACCACTATAGATGTACAGTGTTAATAGAAGACAAAAGCACTATCTCCATAAACCAACTGCTAACCTCTCATGCTTTCAAAAAAGAATATATTAAGCTTGGATCAAAATTTTCAATAATCTGCCCACTGATCTTGAAAGTCTTTTGAATGAAATAGCACTAAAACGATACTTAAACACACT